AAGTATGACCCAAAAATGACCCAAGTATGACCGGCGCTACAAATGCTTCTGTGTTTGTTTCCCTTCTGTTCAGTTTGCTTTATAACTAATAATTCGCTTCAATTTCAAGCTATGCACTTTCAACTTGGGTGACAGGGTAGGAACTATCCAAGAGGGAGGTCAAACTACGTGCTTTGGACATATTATATTATAAGGAAGGCTTTGAGGATAGGTGTGTGTGTATGTGTGTTAGACCAGAGCTTACATGCCTTGGAATTCCAAAATTCCATTTGAGAACATTTTTTCAAGTTTTATGATTTGTTTAGGGTTGAAAACAAGTTAACATATGAGGTCCAGGGGGCCAGGGGCAATGTGTTTGTCTAAATTCAATATTTTGTTACATTGAAGGAGCCCACAGTGGTTAACATGCTCAGCAGATAAAAGAAACATTGGCAGTTTGAATCCGCCAGCTGCTCTACAAGAGAAAGAGGTGGCAGCCTGCTTCCGTAAGATGCCAGCTTTGGAAACTCTTTGAGGCGGTTCTACTCTGTCATTTAGGATCTTTAGAGATCAGCACTGACTTGAAGAAAGTAGATTTTTAAAAGATATAATAATCTCCATGGCAGATGGAACAAATTATACTATTTGTGTTGGGGTGAGTTTGTCTATTGGCAGTTTTTATACTGCGCTTAGATACGCAGGTTCAAACAGGTGCCAGAAGCAGAGCTAGAAATCCTTACCTGGTGTACTTTGTGTTTTACCAGGCGGTATTCCATCTTGCCTGGCCAACTGAGTCAGCTATTGGAGGAAGGCAACTGGACCTTATTCTTCTAGGGTGGTCACTGAGTCCCAAAGGGTTAGTGGCCATCTCTCAAGGGCCACCAACCCTGTAAGGTTCCTCCAATACAGCTGAGGAGAGACCAGCCCTCAGCCTTCCCGTGGGAAGTGGAACTCATCATGAGATTCACAGTACTGATGGTTTGGGTCTTGGATTGTGTGGGGCCTGTGAGGCCACACTGCTGCTCCTTGGACTCTGCCCCTAGCCCTGCCCCGGCGTCTCACCTAGGGTGGGACCCGGCTGTGTGTTGTCTCTAGCCCAGCTGTGTCTACATCACTCAGAAGCCATTGTTTTTTATTGATATGAAGTGGACAAATGCCTAGAACTAGGTGCTTCTCACCGTGCTGAGAGCTAGAAATAACCAGACAGGTGCCCTGCCTTGGGGACAAGGAACAATTTGTGAACATGGTGGCATTTTGCCAAGGTACTCCAACAAGTGGTACTTTGCTCCATCACATTATAATGTCATGTCTACGATGTGGACTAAAGTGCCTAAGTTCCCTGAAAGATCCAGCCAAGTTCATGGTAAAGTTCTGCTCCTTATTCATTTAACAAGTATTTACACGGTACCTGCTGTTTACCTAGATTATAACAGCAACCCGAACTGACAAATATCCTGTTCTCTTGGAGGAGAAAAATTGTGTCACTATACAATACATGCTCGTTTTGAAGAAAGGCACCCTGGTAGCCAGTGGGTTAAGCATTGGGCTACTAACCAAAAGGTTGGTGGTTCAAGCCCATTAGCTGCTCTCCAGGAGAAAGATGAGGCAGTTTGCTTCGTAAAGATTTCCAGCTGCAGAAACCTCATGGGCCACTTTCATCCTGTTCTCTAGGGTCACTACAAGTCAGAATTGAGTTGACGGCAGTGGGTTTGGTCATTTTTTGTTTGTTTTTTAAATTTTGAAGGAAAATAATGCTAGGTAAGGGGAGAGAATGTGAGTGGGGAGGTAGGGTGCTCTTTTTGAGGGTGTAGTCAGGGAAGACCTTTCTGATGGGGTGACTTAAAGCAGAGTTGGAAGGAGGGAGGAAGAGCGGGGTGGCTGGCAGGAGGAAGGCCATGTGAGGCAGGTGTAGCAACAAGGGCAGTGTGTCTGGCTTGTTTGACTTACTAACTGAATGTCTGCAGGCCTCAGTTGCCTCATCTGCCAGACCATGGGCTTATTGCTAGAAACAAATTGTAGTTGCTAAATGAGAATATTTATGTAAACCATCAAACGCTGTCTAAAAATTATTCTCTTTACGTTGACTTCACCGCGTATCTGTAGAATATCTAAATCATCATGGATCATAAATACTGTATTACAGTTCTGCCCTTTTATTTGTTGACTGTAATAGAAAGGAAATCCACATTGTGTCGTTAGCCATCTCCAGTGAAGCAGTCAGGGGCACTAAGTGCATTTGTGGTGACATGGTACAACCACCACCTCTCTGGTTTCAGAACATTTCCATCCCCTCCCCTCTCACTTAGAGTAATAATTCATGCCACCACGCTTGGAAAACGGAGGTTTTTCCTTATCAGATCTGTCCTTTCTATTTCAGGCTAGTCCTCCTATGATTCATCTGTGTGTTTGCTCAGCAGATGTGTATTGATCTATTTACTGTACAGTAGCTGCCATGAGTGTCACGACAAGGCCCCAAACTCAGGAAGCTCAGAATCTGGTGGGGGACTGAGATACTGAGACCGTAAGTGCCAGGAAAGTCACTTGAATTGAGTAAGGGCTTGTAAGGGAAAAAAAGAGAAAAGCGAGGTGTTTGTGTGTTTGGAGAATCATGTTATCAAGTTTGTTATCAAGTTATCAAGTTTGGAGAATCATGTTATCTCGCTACTAGAATTACCTGATTGCGTTGTTGCCATAATGGTGCCTGGAGTCCAGAGACCCTGGAGAGAAGGTCACCCCAGGGGTGGTAGCTGGGTGAGGGAAGGGCCTAGAGTGGTTAGACGGTGGTGGAAATGGGGCTTCTGAGAACTCTAAGGACACAGTGTTACCATTATGCCCACTTTATAGATGTGAAAACTGAGGATTGGAATGGCCAAATGCCTCTGTGGGGAGTACAGCTGATAGTCTTCACCACCTGTCCCGTGACGGTGAAAGCATTTTATCCACCAGAGGGCAGCTTTGCACCTGCCTGGGAAGAGACCAGCAGGCCTGAGCTGGTCCAGCACCCAACTGGATGTGTTCCTAGTCTTCCACAAGGGGGTGCTGATAAGCTGGCCTTCGAGTCACCTTGGAGGGAACGCCTGCCCCCTGTCCGCTGCCCACACACAGCCCAGCACTCATGACCCAGCAAGCTCTCAGCTCCCTGGGGCTTTGCCTTACACACCTGTGTGTAAGCATCGAAGGTTTCCTAACCAAGCTGTGGAGCCCTTAACCTGTCACCTCAGGTGATGAGCCTGTCATCCCCTAAACAGAGGTCCAGCCCCCAGGCGGGGAGCCACAAAAACTGCTAGCGTGGTCGTGGCAGCCACACGGGCGGCGGTGCCCAGTGGCACGTCCGCCATGTCGACCCAGTCACGCGTGTCTCCAGGCGGGATGACCTGGCAACATTTCCACCCCACCCACGTCTAGTTTCGCTTTCCTAATGTTGTTAAAAGTGTCTTCTAACTGCAGTTGGGTGGCTGAGCAGGTTTCAGCATTTTATTTCTTTTTAAACGATCATTTGTGTGTGATTTCTTCCTTTAGCTGAGCCTCCTTCCGTTTCTCTCTTTGGCTTTTGTCCAAGGTCCAGGTTCCAGTAGCTCCTGGACTGTGGTTTCATTTTAACCATCAAACCTTTGTTTGGAATGATTCCTTTTAAATCTGGAAAGGACCAGTTTCATACTCGGCAGTGAATGTCTGCCTGGAGACAGCGAAGTTGTGTTTATTTACTGCTGGCACGTTGCAGTTTTAAAGGGGAGACTGACTTAGGGGGCAATAAAAGAAGGAAAGAAAGGAAATTATGGATAGGTCAGTTTGGGGGATTTGCACTTTAATCAGTTGAACTCTGTGTGTCAAAGGAGAATGGGCTGTGGAGGGGTGGTGGAGGTAGACTAAGGGCAGCAAGTAACGCCACTGGCCACTGAGCGGTCACTTTGAGGATGCAGAGTACCCTGTGGACAACCTGGGACCATCTCACTTCCCAGGGCAGAAAACACACTGCCCTTTGTCACAGCTTGCATCAGAGTGCCACCGATTCTTAGCTCGAGAAATGTGGTCACGTCAGAGGCCTGTCAGCAGCTGTGAGGAGAACTAGAACCCCCAGAGCTCCTTGCACTCACGGGACTATTCCAGATTGCTTTTCTGCCCTTACCAATGCAAGGCCTTTAGGAATAATCACTTGCATTTGTAGAAAAGTAAAAGAAAAAAAATAATGCAGCAGGGGATAGAAATTGGGTGATGTGGGACCAGGCAGCATTTTGTTGAGCTGTACGGAGGGTCGCTATGAGTCGGAACCAACTCGATGGCACCTACCAGCATCATCTTTTTTTGCTGTTGGGGTGGCAAACCTCTTTGATAATAAAAATACAAAAAGTAAATAGGTTTGCGGTGGAGACAAATTCTAGTGGTGGCAAATCCATTTGGGAAGACTTCCTTGTTTCACAGAGAGCCTACCCTTCATCCGAGATGTGTGCTGGAGCAGAACAGCCGGGCTGGAGATTAGAAGCTGTTGCCAGTGGAAGAGGAGGCAGAAATGAAATGAAGGGTCTTGGAGACCTTGCTTGGTAGGAGACGAGGCTTCCATGAAGAAATTCTGGCCAGGGTTCCCAAAGCCAGGTGTATCTACAAAGGCTCAAGACTCAAGATCTGTGTCTCCCACATGGCTCTGGCTCCTTGTCTGAAACACTCTTGAATGATGGGTCAGCACATTCATCGGTTCTCTTCACTATGTACAGAGAGTGAGCCACCCATTTGTGATGTAACCTGGTGCAGATGCAGAAGCTGGTGTTTCTCCTGTCTCTTAACTCTGGAAGAGGACTGAGGGAGAAGAGAGAAAGCAAATGTTTCGCATGCTCAGAGGAAAGCAGATGCCACAGAGATGGATCCCAGAAAAGTCTAATCTGGGAGTTAGATCAGCGCTGTTAAGGAGGAGTTTCTGTTTCATCACCCGGTTTCTACTCGGCCACCCGCTCAGACCTGTGCTGTGTGGTGTCTCTCGGGCCTTCTCCCCATTCTCTTCCACCTGGCTGATGAGGCATGGGACCCCTCATTCCTCAGGCTTCCCTATGCACCTACTATTGGGGGACACTCTTGGGGTGATGTCGACTCACAGGGAGCTGTCTCTTCCACTCCCTAGGGATGTTTCTTGGGGTCTCTGAGGTTCCCTGAAAGGTAGGTGTCTGTCCAGTTGAGCTGCGACTCCCTGCGAGGACCACGGAGGACAGGTCTGTCTGCATCTCGACCGGATTGCAGACAGGAGAAAGCAGGCAGGACACTTTGACACTATGATTTCTGGGGTGTCATGATGCTCCCCATGACAAACCCTGAAGCTCAAGGAGACAACCAGAATAGCAAAGCTCACGTGGGAGACTCCAGCTCTGGGGGCAGATTCTAGAAGTCGGGGGATGCTTAGGGTGGTGGCCGCAACCCTGGCTCTGAGGGGCCCTCCTTGGTCAGTGAGCAGTGTCCTCTAAGGGCTCTTATCCTGGCAAGGAAGGACTGGAACCAAGGGCTTAAGTTAATGTGTACATTATTGACCTAATTATAAGGTTGTCTGTCTGTCTGTTTAATTAACAGATAAGGAGCTCCGTGGTACGGCACAGCAAGGTCATGCTTAGCCTTGAATGTTAGCCACGACATCCTGGGGCTCTGAGAAGAATGATGCCATCAGGGGACTTGTTCTGAGTCCCCAGGCTGACCCGGACCAGACATGAGTAAAACACTTCAGTGGCATCGCAAACCTTGTTGCTGAGTTGATTTGTGTTTCCTGGCGACCTGCTGCGTGCAGAGTAGAACTGCTCCATGGGCTTTGCAAGACTGGGAGCTCTCCGAAGCAGATTGCCAGGCTTGACTTCCAGGGCACCTCTGGGTGGGTTTGAACTGCCAACCTTTCAGTTACTTGTGGAGCCCTTCACCGTTTGTGCCACACAGAGCCTCCATGTTACAGACATTAGTTCTAAAAAAATAGTGGAGAGGGGAGGGAAGGCCTGTAGATGCTGCCGTGGCCTAGCGTGGCCCCATGAGCACCGCACTGACGTGGACCTCCAGGTAGCCCCTGGGCTGTTAGGAGCGTTAGTCATCCTGGAGCAGCGCTGCTGACAGTATTGTCCCCACCATAGACTCACCCTGTCAGCAAGACACTGTTTGCTTTGTTTGTTTACCACCTTGTGGCGTATTATGCAAACTCTCCGTACAGTTTAATTATATTCATATTTGGAAATGGTGTAGACAAAAAACCCTATGCCCATTGCCGGCAAGGTGAGTCCAACTTGTAGCCACCCTAAAGGACAGAGTAGAATGGCCCCCAAGGGTTCCCAAGGCTGGAAATCTTTACTGAAGCAGAGTGCTGTGTCTTTTCTCCTGTGCAAGGGCTGGTGGATTGGGACCTGGGACCTTTCAGTTAGCCCAGTGCTTAACCCATGGCACCACCAGATCTCCTGGGAAAACGTAATACCATGCAACAATTGATGACATCGGGGCACTTTGAGCTCAAGCTTTAAAGTTTGTAAGAGTTAGCTAGTACAAGCGTCCTCTCTTACAAGTATACCTGGGCCATACTGCTGGAGAAGGTTTCAGGTCCACTTAAGAGGGAAGGAAGGAGATACCCCATTGGAAAACATCACCCGGGAGGGAGGTCTCATTGTTCAGAAGAGCTGAGTGGAGAAGACAATCCACTGGAAGAAGAAGAGTCGCCACGGGCTGGAGGAAGTGATCTGGAATAAGGACCACAGAGCAGCCTCTTTGATTTCAGAGATGAAATAGTTGACCTCAGACCTCACCATAAGATGTGAAGAATCACTCCACATTTATAAGCTCATTAAACTAGCATTGTTGACTGTCCACAGGTCTGGCTTTAAAAAAAACCCAGAGAGTGCGGCCAGCCACACCTAGCTCCGCTCAAACCACTTAGCTGACAGTTTTTTCTTCTAATTACTTGAGTGAGCGTCTCTGTTATTTACAAAGTTTGGGGAAGGCAGAGGGGTGGGGACTGTGGTTTGATATCCTTTCCAGCACAGAGCTGTTGAATTCAGCGCATTTAATGAATCCAACTAGTAGACCACTCCACTTCCCTTGCCCCAAACCACAAAATCAGGTATCTGTGTGGTTGGCTGTGGTCATGGGCCAGGTCTGGGTCTATTCGTTCATTCTTGTTTTTTCCCTGACGTTTTGGGTGAAGAATGGCTAGTTCAGTGAACTAGCCATTCTTTTTTTTTCTCCTGTTCACTTTTGTTGGATGAAATGAGAAGGCATATGCCTTTTCCCTTCTTCTTTTCCTTCCTTGAATGTTGGTAAGATGGATGATATGATGGTTGAAGAACTCTCGGAACTTCTTCAAGAAGAGAATATCCCACCTGGTTCTTACCCTCAGGTCAGCCCCCAACCCCCAGAGTCTAGGGTTGCCATCCACTGTCCTGGGCATGGTGGCCAAGAGAAAACAGCACAGGACCTGCTGCTTGGAGAGGGTCACTCCTGACCTCTGTCCACAATCTTAGCTCTGAAAACAGGGTCAGTAGTTCAACTCCTTGTGTCGTCTTGGCAGACAAACCTGCAGTCATCCCGGGGTGACTTGCTGGGCTACGTATCTCCAGCCCCTGCTCCCGGAATAAATAACAGGTGGACTGACAAGACAGTTTCCTCTGATGCACGTTTACGAGGTGTTTTCAAAGCTGAGGCCATGGGGAAATGGTTGGGGCAGGGAGGTGTCAGACTGAGCGGGGGCGAGAGCAAGGGCAGTCCAGTCTGACAGCCCAGTGCTTAGCGTGTCAAGGGAGCCTCCAGCTTTGCGACCTGAATAGTGGTGTGGCTGCCCAGGCTGCAGTGTGGGGACAACACAATGGCATCTGGGCAAGTGCCATTCCTCACTGTCCCGACTCCTTCACCCAAGCCACTGTCCCTTGTGGTGGGAAAGAAAACATTAACTAGGTCTGTGTGCCCCAAATGTAGAATCACCACCCCCATGAGGATCCTTCATCCACAGGAGAGCCTCAAGGACAGAGGGAGCTTCTAGTGCCAGGGGTAGGGGCACAGAGGAAACTGGAGGAAGCCCCGAAGTGAGTGGGGCTTGTTAGGCCCTTGGTGAGAGGAACCTCGCAGCTATTTGATGAAGAAAGGGGAACCAAGAGAGTCTGGACATGAAGGTGTGGGCACATGGGGGTGACTTTTCATTGCCCTGACTAAAAAGTTTAGGGGATCCATTTGGTTGCCAAAACTGTTCTTAGCAGAAAAAAATCGTGGACTGGTGCACGTGGGTCATAGAACATGTTGATTGAGGAAGGCTTGGTAGCAAGTGCATGAGAAATGGAGACAGCCAGCTCATAGCCACAAAGGAGGACCGTGGATCTCTTCTGTGTTTCGCCCTCACAAG